GAGGGAGGGAGGAAGGAAGGAAGGAAGGAAGGAAGGAAGGAAGGAAGGAAGGAAGGAAGGAAGGAAGGGAGGAAGGGAGGAAGGGATAACCTGACATCCATTTGTAATTAATTTTAGCTTTTTCATTCATTTAAAGTACGTCTGAAGCAAAAAGAACTACTACAGAGGTCGCCCCAGCTGGTTATGGCACACAGGCATTTGCTAAATTAGCTTATTCAGTTGGTCTGTAGACTGTAGCTTTTATGGGTCTATTCATTTGTTGTAAAGAATGGTTGCTATGTCTATTGTTTAATACGTGCTTTTCAAACCCAGTGAAAGCCTTAGAGAGGAAACGAAGAAAGAGCAAGTCAGTAATAAACATTTATCAGGGGAGGAGACAGAAAGCCAAGGTTTCCATGCACATATCTGTGACATATTACGCTTTACTATCAAAGTTATGAAAAGTATGTTTGGTAGAGGAACCTGGAAAATTACAGTAGGAGGCTCCTCCAAAGCTAACGAGTAGTGATTGAAATGGGCTTCGGAAGGATTTAATATGTTAAAGTGTCCTTTGGTGTGTGTTGATCAGCCTCACCTTGAAAGACAGCAGTAAAATGTGGTGGAGAGGAGCAAAGGCGTTGCAGATTTTCCCCAGCATTCCTCCATAAATAACAAAGACAAAGGGGGGCTTCTCCCAGTAGCAAAAGAATTCCTGTATACACAAAGAAGATGCCCCGGAAAAAATACAAACACAAGTCCTTAGTAGGTCAGCCTTTATCTTGGCTTTCTGCACAAATGCCCTACTATAAAATCAGGGCAGTAAATAAGTAAGCTTGACTTGCCAAAGTTAAGGGAAAGTTTGACCCTGACTCCAAGTTGACAAACCACAGGGAAATTTGAATAAAACCAGTGTAAGCCTGCTAATAGCAAGGGCCTTTCTGAAAGAGAGCTGGTGGATCTATAGTCTGCTCATGTTACAGCATCCATTTCCTCAGTGTTTACAGTAGCCCTACATCAAGTACACAAATGTCACCTGTTGGAATCCAGTAATTACTATAAGAGCCTATGTAAGATAAACATTACGATAACTTCCCAAGGTCCTGCTCAGCCAGTACTAATCGCGAGTCCCACCTTCGATTTGAGGACAATTCTGAGGGACCTAAGCTGTCACAATTCCTATGTATCTTCTAGCAAAAATACATTGACAGTTGGGTAAAGACAGCCTCCCTGGACAGGTAGTCCATACCGAATGGAAACGTCCCTTATTTCTTCACATTTTCTGCATGCTTTAGATGAAATCACAGGTGGTCATTTGACTCGGGATCCAGGAAGAATGCAAAGGGGTTGATAAGGCAAACGAACTGACTCCAGTATGTTGCAGATTAACCCTTGGTGGCATGGAGACTTTTGGCTGCTCCTGTAATAGAATGCCCATTATCTTTATTCTGTTGATCTTCTCAGCTCCTACTGTGCTCCTTGCTGACCTCAGCATGACTGCTAGCCTTTGAAACCGACTCAAGGAAATGTGCCATGTCCAGCACATTTCCTTGAGATATATTGTTTTTCCCGCAGGAGCACTTCAACATCACCTGCTGCTCTAAGTGAATTGGCCTGTAGGAAGACAAGAAAGGAGGTGCCAGGAAGTGTAAGCTTTGAGGAGAATGTGAGAGGATGGAGACAGGCAGGGAGCAAGATTGCACTGACTTCCTTCTTCCAACGTCTCTCCCTATCTCAGTGTTTTTACTGATAAACATCCACTCTGTAACCACGCGCCTTTAATACAGACTTTTCGGTGACGAGTGTAATACATGCTCGATGTATAAGATTTGTTTCTAAGAATATAAAGACTATCAAAAGCCAAAGCCCCACCCCCACCCTATGGCCCCTTTCACTTCTCAGAGACAGCGGCTATGAAAAGATTTCTAAGTTGCTTTCTTGTCAGCCAGGTGTGGTGGCACACACCTCTAATCCTAGCACTTGGGAAGTAAGGTATGAGGACCAGGGCCAGCCTGGGCTACATGAAACCCAGCCTATTAAATAATTAAATAAATAGTTCTCATTAACCTTCCTTATTATTCAAAATGTGCTTCTAAGTCAACTGTGGTAGTCCACATATAGAATCCCAGTACTTGGACAATAGAGTAAGAAGATCAGGGCCAACCTGGCGTAAATGAGACCCTGCCTCAAAATAGATTTTAAAAAATAAGCAAAGAAGTATAAAATATAATAAATTACTCTCCTCACCCTTAGCATTTAAAATACGCTTCTAAACCAGATGTGGTACTCCACAGCTACAAACCCAGCACTCATGAGGTGGAAGTGGGAAGATCTGAAGCCTGAGTTTCCTAAGATCCAACCTCAAAATAAGTGCTTTTCATCCTCTCTTTTCTCTTCTTCTTAAGTAAGCATGGTATTCTGCCAGGTGGGGTGGTGCATCCGTTTAATCCCAACACTGAAGCAGGAGAGGCAGCTGGATCTCTCTCTGTGTGGTCCAGGCCAGCCTGGTCTACAGAGTGAGACCCTTTTCAGGATAACAAAACAACAATAAAAATGGTGGGATTCTGACTCGCCTGACCAAGCCCCTGCCTTCCCCCATCTGCGCTGGCCCCAATCTTCCTCATCCCGTTCTTCCTCTTGCATTTATCTGAAATCTAACTCCACCTTTGGCACGGAATCCCTTTCCAAATTGGTGTGTCCACTGTCCATCCATCACGCGGAAACTCTCCTGAGGTGGATCCCTTCCGCTCCAGTTAGGGCTTCTCTGGGAAGAGAATGCTTCTGCAATCCTCACACAGCAGCTGTGGGTCACACCTCCCATCCCTTTTAGTTTTCTTATCTTTGGGTGTGTGGGGGGGGGGAGGTGTCCAGGGGAGGGTGTGGTCTTGGGGAGTGGATGGAAGCCAGGGCCCTAAACTATGTTAGGCAAACCTTCAACTGAGCTACAAGCCCACTTTGTCTCCTTTGGCCCCCAGCATCTCTCCAGGGGCCAGACCTGTACTTGCTGAGTGACGTGTCACCAAACTAAATCCCCAAGCCCTTTTTTTTTTTTTTTTTTTAATTTCATTTTATTCATTTTGGTCTCATACAGAGACTGGAGAGATGGCTCCGAAGATGAGAGCATGTGTAGGTTTAAAACAACACAAAACAAGGTTTCAAGTAGTTCAGATTGGCTTTGAACTCCTCATCCTCCTGCTTGCTTCTCTCAAGTGCAAGATCCACCACCATCTCACAGAATTTTGTTGTTAGATTTTTAAAACAATTTACCACATTCTTCTTGGTTTCTTTAAACATTTTTTTTTATCGGTATTAGGTTAGAAGCCCCTTGAAGACAAGATTTAGCACTTTGATCATGGGGTACAAACTTTTTCTGAATCTAATGGCCTGAGAGCTTCCCCAGGGTTCCTGTGTGCACTTTCAAATCTGTAGCATCTCCACACTGATTAGCATGGACTCAAATACAGAAATCAGGCTTTGTTGTTTGTTGTTGTTGTTGTTGTTTGAAACAGGTTCTCAAGACTCAGGCCTGGGTGAGCTGGCACTCACTGTGCAGACTAGGCTGGCCTTCAGCTCACAAAAAACTGCCTCTGCCCCCTGAGTGCTGGATAATGGGCATGCGCGCGCCACCACACACAGCTGGAAAATGACTGATGTTACAGTCAGTCCAGTGCTCCCTGCTCAGAGAACATCCTTAACACACCTAATCCACGGTGGAAATCAAACTTTTTGCCAGAAAACAAAAACATATGGAGATAGATAATTGTAACGCATGTTCATAATGTAATTGTCACTCTTTTGTATTTGCATATAATTTATGTAGACATGAAAATATCTACCACTAAAGCAAATAATGAAAACTCTTCATGAGACATAGTCAGTCCCTTTGCCTACTTAATCCGTCCAGTCTAACTATGTAGACCTAGCTTGCCTTAAACTCAGTGTTGCAGGATTACAGGCTTGGCCCACCATTTCTGGTTCATTGTTTTTCATTTTGCTTTGAGGTGTGTGTGTGTGTGTGTGTGTGTGTGTATGTGTGTGTGTGTGTGTGTGTGTGTGTGTGTGTGTGTGTGTGTGTGTGTGTGTCTGTGTGTCTGGTTTCATACTTGATATATATCTGAGGATGGCCTTGAACTTCCAATTCTCCTGTCTCTATCTTCCCAGTGCTTGAGTCCACAAGTGCCAGGGTTTAAAGCCTTCACCACAGCACCTCTCTCTGTTTCTTTTCTTTGTTGCTCAACTGACCTTGAATTCCTGGGCTCAAGTGACGCTCCTGCCTCAACCTCAGGTTGTGGGTTCTGGACACCGTGGGTGTGCATCATTGTACCCAGCGCCTATGTGTCTTAGTCACTTTTCTAATTAGTCACCTATTGAAATCAGGTGGACTGTGTTAGCACCTGGCACACACGTATGGAATGTGATTGCAGCCGGAGAATTCCACAAAGTCAGTTTGACACACTTAAGTTGGTCTCTAATCTGTTGAGTTTGGCAAGCTGCTGTATTTCCCTGGTCCAGCTGCTGCTTTGCCCCCAAACAAGAGCTGTTTCTTACTTTTCCTAATCCCTTCAAATTTCCAGTTCTTACATTTTTTTTTTGGATCTAGTTTTGCATCTTATATCACAGGGAAAAAAAAAACCCAAGTCATCAGATGGCCTTAATCCCACCCAGTTCCCTGCACCCTGATCATCCTCACCCTCTTTTTGGTGCTATGAAAGAGACCTTCCCACAGGTGTCTGAGCCTCTTTTTCTCTGGGCTGGATGTGAGCAGGGAGATTGAAGTGCTAACAAGCCTACATCCTCCAAACACATGTGTCCACACGCTTGTGTGCCTCAGCATCTCATGACTGCTCGGCAGTCATCCTTTTCAGTTCATTCATTTGCAGCCTACTCTCATCTGTTTACATTCCCTGTAAATGGTTATCACTGGACCAGTGAGATGCTCAGCAAGTGAGACCCACAAGGAGGAAGGAGAGAACAGATTCCCTCAAGTTGTCCTCTAGCCTCTACCTATGTGCCCCCAAACATAGACAAAATGAAAAATTGTACCTGGCCATCGGTCTTCTTTCTTTCTAAACGAATTTGGTGTGTTTTCAGTCTTGTGTTTGCTTGGTGTGTTGTTCTGAATTTTGTTTCAGACAGGGTCTCCTTGCGTAGTTTTGGTTGGCCTGGAACTCACTAGGTTAGGGTGACTAGAAATTGCATCCATTCTACCTCTGTATTCAACATGGCTAGATTAGAGGCATGAAGTATGGAGCACCAAACTTCTAATTCTGATTTCACAGAAGAGTTTAGTCAATTGACTAGTCGATTAAAATCCCTTCCTGTTCGTCATGGCGGTGCCGTAGGCCTGTAATCCCAAATTTGGGAGGTAGAGACATGGAGTCCATAGTTCAAGGCCAGCGTTAGGTACATAAGGAGTTTGAGGCCAGCCTGGGCTACAAAAGATATATCTGAGAGAGAGAGAGAGAGAGAGAGAGAGAGAGAGAGAGAGAGAGAGAGAGAGAGAGAGGAGGGAAGGAGGGTAAAGACAGGCCCTGTGTTATACACTTTTAATCCAGCTCTCAGGAAGCAGAGGCAGGCTGATCTCTGTGACTTTTGAGGCCAGCTTGGTCTACATAGAGAGTTTAAGGCCTGTCTCAAAACAATGACAAACAAACCTAACCCAGATGTGGTAATTCTTACTCCAGAGGCTAAGACGGGATTGGGAGTTTGAGGCCAGCCTGGCTACATAGTGAACTAGTGAGGCTCAGTCTGAGAGAAACAAACACAAAGCCCTTCCCCAGGTTCCAGGACAAAACACCTCCTCGTCTAATCTGGTCCTCTGGCCCCTGAGCGAGGCATTCTACCTTGCAAGCTGGAGTGTATCCGTATACTCTCTGCCCTTGAGACGGCTCAGTGGGTAAAGACGTGTGCCGCCGGACCTGATGGCCAGAGTTCAGTCCTGAACAGGGTCCTACAGGTCATCCTCTGACTCTCACACATGTATACATACCCACTATAAATTCATAAATAAATGATAAATGCAACTTTTTTAAAAACAAAAGGTACTGAGAGACCATTTTGTCTAGTGAATAGAATACTCAAAATGAACCTTTTTAGGGGTGGAGAATCTGCTCCTGGGGGGTGAGAACAGTCGCTGCTGTTGCCAGACCCCAGTTCCTTGCCCAGCATCTGCATCTTGTGGTCCACAACCCTCGGTAGCTCAAGCTCCAGGGCATCTGAAGTCTTCCGGCTTCCCCAGACACTAGATCACTCACACACACTCACACTCACACACACACACACACACACACACACACACACATACACACACACACACACTTTTAAAACTGAGTGTGTGTGTGTTTATGCGGGTGCACAAGCACATCCCGACGTGGACATGTGAAGGTTAGAGAAGGACCTTGAGTGTCACCTTCAGGAACACTGTCCATCTCCTTTGAGTTGGCAATTGGCTGGCAGAAGCCCCTGGGATCCTCCTGTGCCCGCTTCCTCAGGGCTGGGATTATAAGTGTCCGCCACCCTACCCAGTGTTCTCACATGGTATGGGGACAACCACAGGATGAATGAGCAGCCTGTTGCTGGAGACTGTGAGGAGGGAGAGAGGGCGTGCTTGACATGAAAGTCAGAAGCTAAAACAGGGAAGCGGACTTCTGGTCCAGCATCGCCTTCTTGGGCCACAGCTCACGACTCAGAAGAGAAAGGAAGAGAAGTCAAAAAGAAATTAGATTTGAGGCCTTTGCCCCGGGCTGAGTCCACCCTCTGCTCTGGGGAGCACCCCAGCCCCAGCTCAGTCCACCCTCTGCTCTGGGGAGCACCCCAGCCCCGGCTCAGTCCACCATCCGATCTGGGGAGCACCCTCGGCTCAGTCCACCCTCTGCTCTGGGGAGCACCCCAGCCCCGGCTCAGTCCACCCTCTGCTCTGGGGAGCACCCTCATCCTCTCGGCTCAGTCCACCCTCTGCTCTGGGGAGCACCCTCACCTTCTACTTTTCCACCTTCTCCCTCGGTGAAATCAACTTTAATGATCGCTTGCTAACTTAACACCTGAAGGGGCTGAGGAGACGGCTCAGGAGTTAAGAGGACGGCTTGTTCTTGAGGGGACCAGAGCTGGCTCCTAGCCACCTGCAACCTCCCTCCCAAGGGATGTAATGCCCGTTCTGGCCTCCACAGGCACTGCACACATGTGCACACACACACATGCTGGCAGAGCACCTACACACGTAAAATACAAAAAAAAGTTAAAAATAACTTAAGAAAATAAGTAAAAGCTAAGCACAGGGAAAGGACTGTGTTGACCAGACGTTCTTACTGTACTGCCTTTCTTTCTCCCAAATAGAAAACTCTGATTCCATTGGTTCCACCAGAAGAAGAGCGAAAGCAAAGATGTCCACCCATCCCAAAACCACCTCAGCATGGCGACAGTGTGGCAGCTCGGGTGCTCCTGCGCAAACGGATGTTGTTGCCAAGTACCTCGGATGGCTTCTAGGCTCTTGAGATGGTTCCTCCTGGATTTTCTTTGACAAGAAAGTAATATAAATGGAAAACAGACTAGGTTGAAGCACACTCACTTGTCCATATAACAATCTCTCGTCTTCTTCTACACATTATTTTATCGGCATATATTCATTTTACAGTGATGGGTTTCATAAAGATATTTACATACAAGTGTGTCATGTACGTTGACCATATTTACACATGTACATCATGCACGTTGACTATATTTACACATGTACATCATGTATGTTGACTATATTTACACATATGTACATTATATGTATCGACTATGTTTGCACACGTGTACCCTCCCCTTTCTCTCCCTTCACCCTCCTTTTCATTCACCCAATTTTGTTTCTGCTTTAATGGCGTGTACACGTCAGTGATTTTGTTGCACATTATTCTTCTTACATGGATTAAAAAGAAAACCACTTCTCTAATATTATATTTATGTGTTTATTGAGTGTGGATGGGCGCCTCCGTGTGGTGGTATTGTGTGGGGCTCAGAGGACAGCTTCCAAAAGCCAGTGTCGTCCTACCACGTGGGGCCTGGGGATCAAAGTAAAGTTGTCAGCCTTGGCCACAGCTCCTTCACCTGCTAAGCCATCTCACTGGCTCAGGAAAACTACTTTTTGAAAAAAAAAAGTGTAATAGCAGGGGTTTTTCTTGTTTGTTTGTTTTGGTTTTTAAGATTTATTTATTATGTATACAGTGTCCTGTCTGCATGTATGCCTACAAGCCAGAAGAGGGCACCAGAACTCAATATGAATGGTTGTGAGGCACCATGTGGTTGAACTTAGGACCTCTGGAGGAGCAGCCAGTGCTCTAAACTGCTGAGCCATCTCTCCAGCCCCCAGAAAACTGCTTTTTTTTTTTTTTTTAAAGATTTATTAATTATGTATAGTGTTTTGCCTGCAGGCCAGAAGAGGGCGCCAGATCTCATTACAGATGGTTGTGAGCTCCCATGTGGTTGCTGGGAATTGAACTCAGGACCTCTGGAAGAGCAGCCAGTGCTCTTAGCCACTGAGCCATCTCTCCAGCCCGAAAACTACTTTTTTAAAGATGTAGCTCCATTAGTAGAGAGCTTGCCTATTGTGAACAAAGCCCTAGTTTGATTATCAACACTGAATAAAATGAAAAATAATGGCAAAACACCTAGCATTCCAACACTGGTATGTGTATGGTCCATACATGCCATCAGACTCATATGGAGCAGGAGAGGCAGGAAGATCCAAAGTTCAAGGTTACTTCAGGCTATACTGTTTGAGGACATTCTGTGCTACAGGAGACCTGTTTCAAGGAAATACTACTGGAAGTTTGGCTGAGTGTGGTGGCACATACTTTTAATCCTAGCTCTGTGGAGGCAGGAGACTTGGGAACTTAAGACCTGCCTGGGCTACAGCAGATCCTATCTCAATCCATCCATCCATCCATCCATCAATAGAAGGTTGGGCATGGTGGTGCACTCCTTTAATCCCAAAACTCAGGAGGCAGAGGAAGGTGGATCTCTTGAGTTCAAGCTCACCCTAGTCTGCAGAGTGAGTTCCAGAACAGCTAAGGCTACACAGAGTTCCAAAAAACAAAAATAAAAAAAGATAGAAAGAGCCGGGCGGCGGCGGTGGCACATGCCTTTGATCCCAGCACTCAGGAGACAGAGGCTGAAGTATCTCTGTGAGTTCAAGGCCAGCCTGGTCTAGAAACCCTGTCTTGAAAAACCAAAACAGAACAAACCACCAAAACAGAAAGGAGTAGAAGATTAACTGCATTGATTAGCTTTTTAGAGTAAAGAAAAAATACTTGATTCATCAATTCTATTGAAATTAAGGGGAAAGACTGTTAATTGCTACTGTTGTATGTTGTTTTAATTTAAGGCTTATAAAAGTATGTTTTTATGAGCAATATCCGTTTAAGTTTATAAAAGCAAATGTAAAATACCATTTATTTCAAAATGAAAATGTTCATTCCTTTCTCAATCTTTCATGTAATTTATAGAGGGCAAATATAATTGAAATGCATTGTATGCATGTATGAAACTCAAAGAATAGCTTTCTTTTCTCAAAGAAGTCAGTGAATTTTTAAGCATTTGATATTGAATACGTTTGTCTTGTGTGTATTCGTGGGTATGTCTATGATCCACACATGTCACCACTCATGTAGAAGTTGAAGAACTTTCCAGAGTGTATTCTTTCCTTCCACTATGTGCTTGGAGGCAAGCATTTTTTTTTTTCTCAGCTAAAGTACCAGAGACAGGCTTTCTCTGTGTAGCCCTGGCTGGCCTGGAACTCACTCTGGAGATAAGGCTGGCCTCAAACTCAGAGATCTGCCTGCCACTGTCTCCCAGTGCTGGGATTAAAGGTGTGCACCACCACCGACTGGCCACCCTTAATTATTAAAAAGTTATTACATAAAGAATTTGTCTCATGTCTTCAGGATGTGCTGAAGAAGCAGAGGCAGGAGGATTGTGAGTCTAAGGGAAGGCCAACCTGGGCTACACCTACAGTAAAGATACATTGTTTTCATGTATGAATCATCAAAGAATAAATAAAAGATACTCTATTCTTAAAAAAAAAATTTGACCATCCTCAACACCACCAGAAAAAAAAAAAATGAAAATAACAAATCTGGTACTATCATGGGTTTTAATCTTGCTATCAGAGATTATTAGCAGACTTTTGGGGCTGGGTGTGGTGGCTCATGCCTGTAATCCCAGAGCTTGAAAAGTTGAGGCAGGAGGATTGTCATGAAGTTAGCTTGGACAACATAAAAAGTTCTAGCCCTATTGGGGCTACAGATAAGACCTTGCCTCAAGATAGATAGATAGATAGATAGATAGATAGATAGATAGATAGATAGATAAACAGACAGACAGGTAGGCAGGTAGGCAGGCAGGCAGATAGAACCAAACACTGTCCACCAAGGCCAGAAGAGGACATCAGATGCCCTGGAGCTGGAGTTACAGGTTGTTGTGAACCATCTAATATGGAGTGCTAGAAGCCAAGCTCCAGTCCTCTGCAAGAGCGGTAGAAATGCACATAAACCAAAACAGAAATGGTTGAAATTCTTCAGATGTGCTGAAGTTTTTAATAAAGTGAGTTTTGGAAAACAAACAAGAAAAACCTTCTAAACTCGTAATTTAAAAGGAGAGCAAGATATTTCCCTTGTAAGCGATTAAGATGCTCTTGTAGCTAGCTGGGCCTGGGAACACTCCTGTTGCTCTCATCACTTGGGAGGCTGGGCCGGGAGGACTGATGTAAGTCCAAGGCAAGCCTAGGATACATAATGAGTTCATGGCTAGCCTGGGATGCATGGTGAAACCCTGGTGAGAAAAGAGGAATGTAGGAAGGAGGAGGGAGGGAGAGAGGGAGGGAAGGAGGGGGAGGAGAAAGAGGGAGAAAGGGAAGGAGGGAGAGGGAAGGAGGGGGAAGGAAGGAGGGGAAGAGAGA